GTTTCATTGGAAAATAGGGAAAACTTTGCTTTAAATACTGTATAACTTTTATCAGTTTGAACCTGCGAGTTTTTTCTTGTCGAATTTTCAAAGTTGGCAACGTTATGTCACACACTCGGCCACTTGTGCACTTTTGTGTTTCTCAGGGCATTTCTCAGCAACCCAGACAGATGTCGGAATGAAAGTTTCACTGGAAAAAAGGGAAAACTTTGCTTTAAATACTGTATAACTTTTATCAGTTTGAACCTGCTAGTTTTTTCTTGGCAAATTTTCAAAGTTGGCAACGTTATGTCGCAGACTCAGCCACTTGTGCACTTTCGAGTTCTTCAGGGCATTTCTCGACAACCCAGACAGATGTCGGAATGAAAGTTTCACTGGAAAAAAGGGAAAACTTTGCTTTAAATACTGTATAACTTTTATCAGTTTGAACCTGCTAGTTTTTTCTTGGCAAATTTTCAAAGTTGGCAAAGTTATGTCGCAGACTCAGCCACTTGTGCACTTTCGAGTTCTTCAGGGCATTTGTCGACAACCCAGACAGATGTCGGAATGAAAGTTTCACTGGAAAACAGGGAAAACTTTGCTTTAAATACTGTATAACTTTTATCAGTTTGAACCTGCCAGTTTTGTCTTGGAGAATTCTCAAAGTTGGCAACGTTATTTCGCACACTCGGTCACTTCTGCACTGTGAATGAAAATTTCATGAAAATTTCCTGAAAACACTGTAGTTTTTTAATAATGATTTCTCAAACTTTGCAATTCTGACGACTTCTGAACTTCGCTCTTCTGCAGAGAATTCCTCAATAATCCGGGAATAAGAGGAAGCTTTTCTTTAAATGCCGTGTGAAGTTGATCATTCGGGATCATCCAGTTTTTTCATCATCAGTACTTGCGGGACTTGGGAAGTAAAGGGATCATCTTTCGTAGCTTAAATGGACCAATAATTTTTGGAGGAAAAATTTCCTGTCTTTTTCCAACTTCAAAAATTGTTGGTCCGTTTAAGCCACAAAAAATGGTCCCTTAAGTTGCTAAAGTTATTTTGCAACAACGCCGTGTCAGTTTTCCTTAGAACATTTGCCATTGTTTCCCAATAATCAAAGAAATTTTCCAGTTTTAAACCATTAAAGAAATACCATATATAAAAATATAAACTCCAATTTTTGCTGTAGAGTTCTAAACGAATCACTGCAACCGGCAACACCGCCAGGCTTCGTGTATAAATACGACGCACAAGCGGGAAATTCTTCATTCCTTCGTGATTCGTGGCTTTGTATCGACTCGTGTTCTGTTCAGGTCTTAACCTCGTGCTCTCAAGTACTCATATAAACCGGTTAGTGTTGCTAAACGTAAACAATAATTAATTTTTGTTCGGCTTACAGAAAAATCAAAAACAATTCGTGCATCTGTGCAACTATTCGGTGTTTGCCCCAGTTTAGTACACGTACTGTTTATCGTTTTGTGAAAAGTGTTCCGCTGTTCAGTGTAGAATGTCGCAAATCGGAAAATCTTCCCAAGGGAAAGCCAATGGAAAGAACTCCGGCTCCAAGAAGGGTCAAAAGGTGAAAAACAACCAACCAGCGGTGAGCTCTCCGGCCAAGAAGAGCAAACTCAGTGAAGATCGGAACAGCAAGCTAAAACAGCTCCAGATACAGAGAATGCAGTTGCCCATTTACCTTCATAAGAATGAGTTGATGGAGGTGATTGAAGACTCTAAAAGCTTGGTGATTGTGGGAGAGACGGGCTGTGGAAAAACGACCCAAATTCCCCAATATATCGATGAAGACAATCTGACTAGACCTGGTAAAATCGCCATCACTCAGCCTAGAAGAGTAGCTGCTATTAGTGTTGCGACGAGAGTTGCTCAGGAGTATGGCCTAGATGTAAGTCAATGTTCTTTAAACATCTCATTTAACTAGTCATTTTTATTCCCCAAAGTGTAATTTGCTCACTGGTTTGGATGATGGTGGATCATCCACCCTGTATATTATTACCTTTTTCAAAATCGCGATTTTCTGATGCCGAAAATATCTAAATGCACCATATTTTAACGGCCCGTTACGAGTCAGGATTTTTGAAAATTTTCATTCATGGGGATCATAAACATTTGGCGATGTTCAAATTGAAAATATTCCCAAAAATGTTGGTAAATCAGGAAAAAGTTCCATTTCAACAACTGTTTCAAAACTTCAAATAACTCCTCTATGCATTCCGCTTGAGTAGTGTGTTCAATGAAAATCAATGGCATTGGGACACCCTGTAACTTATTAGCAAAGTCGCATGGTAATTTAGCATAAAAAAACTGTGAAGATGCTGATTGGTCATGGAAAGTTAAATTTTCCATGCGAACGCGCATTCGCATTCTCATAATAACGGCGCATTTACCAAAGCGGCCAAATCGATAATTTATTGCTTAGCATAAAAACTTGCCTTTTTTTTGCAATTTAGCATCAATCATATTTCGAAAATGTTTAATCT